CCTTTCAATTACCAAAAATCCAAACAACTACTTAACTTGTCATTAATCTCTCTAAAAATCTCCTTTTAGTGCCGAGAAATATAATGAAGTAAAATTACTATGTACATAAATACAGTATGTTCATCAGCTAAATTTCTAAACAAAAATAAATATTTATGTGTATTGATACATTTTTCCACTTTTTATTGAAAATCTCCTGTTAGAGTACAGAATTGTGAGTAGAAATTAGTTCTGAATTCTCCACTTGATCCATATTTTCTTTAAGACAAATTTATAGAGAAAAGCATGCATTAATGGCACATTCTACCTACTTGTGACATGTTCTCAGACCTGAATACCCCTTTTTCACTGGAGTATGGAGAAAGAGTGTAACTCTGTCTTTCCAAACAAGTTGTTATGGTGGAATTTCTGAGGCAGAATCAAACCAGAAATGAATTATTTAGCTGTGTTCGTGGGAAGTAATATGGATTGTGACATAAATATGCAGAGTACACAAACTGAATCTCCTGAGATAGTTTAAGGAGGAACTAAGAAGTGAGAGAACACAGGATTTTGTAGGTTGGTTTTTGACCCATTCCCTGAAGCAAAAATCCTTTTTAAGCTGGTGGATACAGCTGGCCGTGAGGCTGTGATTCAGTAAAGGCTGATTGAAAACTGCCTATTAGGATGATTTGTAACTGCTACAATAACAACAGCAGGTTGTTGTATGCATAAACATCATATACCGTATATATAAGTTAAGTAAACATTGGTTAAATATCATGACCTTAGATTTCTCTTTTTATCCAGTATGCTTTTGGAAAATGGGTTGAGAACTATAATTTTACATTAGGATTAACAAAGGACATGACATAAAAACATTTTAAAGATAAGAAAAACTGTTTGCACTCCAGTTCACCTTTAACTTCAATTTAAATGTATTTAAAATAAACATACAAATATTTAAAGAGACCTTTTCAACTGTTCAAGATTATATGCTTGTGTGTTGGCTCCACAATTTGTGGGTACATAACGTCATTATCTGTTTGTAGCCATTTTTCAAAAGCAATGCAAGATGACTACAATACATGACGTTACTGCTAGAAGTGGCTTTTGTGAACAAGTACTGTAGTTGGAACTCTTTTCTCTGAACTACAATTTCCACTATAATATCCTAGAATCATGATTGAGGACACTTTGCTATAGGAAGGTGCAGTCAATTGGATGAGACATTAACTTGGGTTCATCTCATTACTTGGTTATTAAGATCCCATGGCTCTTATTTAAAAAAATAAATGCCACTGGCTATATACCACTCAGGGCTCTGGCCGTCTTAAAGGTCTCTCTTAATTTACACTTCTTCACCTGAAATGATGTGTGATGGGGTTGCTATTATTATTATTATTATTATTATTATTATTATTATGTATTGCAACTAGAAAAGAACAATAGCAGTACAAAAAGGGTCACACATTTATCAAGCCTAATTATAATAAAGTTGTCCATATGTCAGCGTACAAACGAGGACAGTTCAGCCTGTGGTTAAACATCAGTTTATACTACTTTGTTAAAGTTCTACTCAGGCAAGGTACTTTCCCACGCCTTCCTGTCTCTTTATCAAATTCTTTTTATGCAGTTTTTTCTGAGACCAGTAAGTAGTTACAGTTTTTCTAAGAAACGTTTCTAACCATGTTTTTGGTATTATTCCCAAGCATTTAGTTCATCAAGGAGGAACCCCTTGGTTATCTCCATAGTAATGCCTGCTGTAAAGGGACTAATTTGTGTTCTTCCCCAAAGCTCCATCACTTATTACTAACTCATAACACTGCAAGGTCAAACCTCATACTATGACAAAAAGAAAACCATTAAGTAACCAACAATTGAAGTTTATGCTTTGGAATATTTGATCTTGACATATATTTCATTTATAATCTGTCACAGGCACTTATTTTATTTTAAATTTTTGAAAACATTGTGTTTTATTTTACAAGTTTAAGATCAATTTTCATAATGATACAGTGGAACACAACTGCAGACTCAATCTAAACAGCAGAAACATTTTAAAGGAATACTCTTTCAATATTTCATAATTTGAAACTATTTCAAAATGTATCCTTCTTTTGACATGAACTGAAAAAAGAACATTTCCTCCAAAATGTGCAATTCAAAATGTATTTTGTTTCTATCAAAGTTTCCTTTTGAACTGTGAATTTATGTCATGTGTGGTAAACAAACATATAACCTAAAGGTACTGCAATAAGAGCAGCAGAATATAAACTTCTCAATCTACATTGAGCTCTATGGTTTCTACTACTCAGTATCTTATCCATACCTAGAAGACTCCTTAGTTAATCAGACACTGTGGAAGAAGGAAACAAAAACAGCAGCTGCAAGGAATAGCTAAGGGGATGGAAACAGTTGCAGTCTGAGGGTTAATACAGTACATTGAAAAACATTACAGTGACATCACAGAGAACAATCATTAAAAAAGTCACCTTTACAATACTATATACTGTATATA